ATATTCCCTCACAGTGTGCGTCCCCCAGGGCACCTCCCTTCTTGGGAACCTGCACAGTACACAGGAAGGAGGAGCTGGAAGGCTCTACTCCTGCCTGAAGCTTGGCCTTGTTGGGAGGGGGGCACCAGGGCCAGACAAAGCCATACCCCTGCTGCCCTGCCCAGTGACCTTCAGAAGTCCACAGTCACCCCAGAGAAGACCAGTGCCTGGGGAGGGAGCCTCTGAGGCCCCTCTCAGGGATGAGAGCAGAGGCTGGAGCAGGTGGGCACTCAGAAAACCTGAGCCTTCGTCTTCTGTTATTCTGTTGCCACCTGGGCCTCAGGGAGGAGCCTGGAGGAGGGGATGCTGAGCAGCTGGCATCTACCTCCTAGCCAGGCTGGGGATCTAGAGTCTGGGGAGGGGGGGACAGGTTGGCAGCAGGGAGAAGACAAGAGGAGGGGACAGACCCTGGGGCTGGGGAATGGATGATAGCTTTCAAAGCTGGCCGAGGTCTGAGCAGCACCCACAGCTATTCAGCCGTGTGATTCCACCTCCCCACCCTCTGTCCCGGTGGCCAGAGAGAACAGGCAGCTGCGAGAAGAATGACGCCAACACTCCTGGAAGAATCTCAGCCATTGTGGCCACTGCAGCTGGAGTGCGGGCCTCCTGGGGTTCCAAGCTGTGTACTTTCAGCAGGCAAGACCAAGGACAGGGCCCAGCATGGTGTGGTGTGCTCCAGATGAGATGGGCTCCTGGGCCGAGCAGCTCAGAGTCCCAGCCTCGATGACTGACAGCCAGGAGGGTCTCGGCCTCAGGACCTCGGAGAAGCCAGCTGGGCTCGGAGCTCCTGGACTACTCCTCTCCTCCAGTGCCTTCCTGCAATCCACCCTCACCCCCAGCCCCTGCTCTCTGCCCCTACTCAGGCTCAGTGCCTGTCATCTGGACTTCAGCCCCCCACCCAAGAGGCAGTCCCATTCCAGCAGCTGGAGAAACCAGACTACCTCATAGAAAGAACTGGCAATACTAGTCTGCAATAACCCCCACACATACGCCGGGACTCTAAGACCAAGCCCCTCAGCCAGGCATTCAGCGGCTTTCCCTCTTATAACGCCTTTCCAAGTCCTGTATCCCAACCAGAGTGTCCCCGGGCCAGCAGGAGATGCTTCTCACCCCCTCACACACATGCTTCTGTCAGCCAGGGGTGCCTGTGCCCTGTCTTCTGGCTCTACAATGCTGCAGGGCCATCAAGGGCCAGCTCCCATGCCACCTCTTCCATGACGCCTTCCCATGCTGAGAGCAGAGCAGCTCCCCCACACTAGGCAGCCAGGCTGGATGCTGCTCTGAACTGTGCCTGGAGATGTGCGGTCTTGAGTCAGGGCTGCTTGCTAATGTCCCTCCACAGGCATGGTCAGGACCTCGGCCCAGCCCTGGTGGGGCCCAGGGCAAGCCCAGGGAGGAAGTGCCCGCTGGCCACCCTCTAGTGCTTGGGCCATGCTGCCCTGGCTCCAGTGTCCACATCAATGGGCCTTAAAGGTCCAGAGGGGGAGCAAGAATTCCCTAGACATAAACCTGCTCAGCCCTTGATGGGGACAAGGACCAGGAAATGGGAACAGAAGGGGGTCCCTGTCTTTGAAGCCACAAGACTCTTGATCTTTTGAATGTCAAAACTTAAGAGGAAAGCTTCAAAAAGAAGTTTAATGTTGCTAAAAAGGTATACAACTTAATAGTAATCCCCAAACTCCACTCAAAGGAAAACGACTCTTCAGTAAACCCACTGCTGGAGTTCACATAAATGAGAATGAATTTTCATCTACCACATTGGAGATTTCAAGGCACTTCCACAGACTATCAAGTGTGCTGAATGGATGAGCAGATGAACAAATAAATGAGTACTCTTCCCAGAAACTTGTGAAGTCAAAATCGTTATCATCCCCATTGTATAGACGGATAATTTGAGACATGGTGTGGGCCAATTAACTTGAACAATGACAAGCAGCGATTGCTAGACTGATCCTCTGATTCCACATGTGGATACCAGGAATCATATTACATGGCCTTCACATGTCCAGTCCCGGGGGGTGGGGGGGGGTGGCTTCCTACCAAGCCTGGGTGGAGGTTGTTGAAGAACAAAAAGGGGGCTGGCATTTTCCCTTTCCAATTGGTCTCTCTGGAGCCCAACCCTCTGGGAACAGGCAATCCCCACCTCTTCTGGCCTATCCCGGGGCTACAATTTATACAGAACTCTACTGCATTCATTTGTTTGTGTTTCTTCCACTTGGTGGTCTTGGGCTTATCTCAAAGTCTGGCAGGTAAACAGGTGTTCCAATCCCGTCGAGCAGTGTGTATAAATCTGGGCAAGTAAATGGAGTCCCTGCTCAAAATCTGATTGCTCTTCTCTGGGATGGGAAATTCATGCTACGAGAAGGAGCCTCAGACACCCTGGGCATTCCTAAAAAAAAAATTCCTGTTCTCAGAACCCTCCCAGCCCCTTCATGCCTAGGGAGCCACCCTCTGCAAGGGGGCTCACATCCCCAGGGGTTTTCAACAGCAAGGGAAGGGACACAAAGTGGAGGGGCCTTACGAGCTAGCAATGGGTGTGCTATATTTTATTGCTTATGAAATCAGACCCATTCTTGCATCCCCTTCTCACATCTACACCAGGAGGCAGCGCATATGCAGAGTTCCTCTCGACCATGTTCTCCCAAAGTGGCATGCTTCCGGTAATTTTTCAGGCCATATGTCAACATGGTGATTATCAAAACCATGACAAGGAGAGATTAGAAGAAGCAGAGTGAAAGCGAGACCATGAGGCCCAAGGGAAGGCAGCGGAAGGTGGCATTCACCCACTCATTGCCCTGCCCGCGCGGGTAGGGCTGGCCCCCAGCTGAACCTAGCCCCAGATGTTAGGACCCACTGGTGTGTATGATGGGCACTTGAATCTTAAGGATAAAGACCCTGAAGGCCCAAACAGTGAACTGCCTCCAAATCCATGGCCTTGGCCTCGTAGTTCCTCTAGAGGGGGGGTCGGGGGCTGGTCTCAGAAGGCTGGCCAGGGGCTGAGCTGCATGGGAGTACAGGTCAGGAGTGTCTACAAATAGAAACAGCCCTTCCTGAGAGGTCCTGCTCAGAGGCAGTTCTATACGGCCTGGAAGCTCTGAGCCACCTGCTCAGGCTAACTCCACAAGGAACCAGCGCTGCGACTCACTGTCCAGTGCTCCAGCTGAACTGACCTGGCTGGAGGCTCAGGCTTTAGCAGCAGACCCACTGCTGCCTCAGAAAATCCACTTCTGCCTGGTTAGGCAAACAGGAGGGAGAGACAGGAGGCTGGCCTTTTGCCTAATCCAGGCTTCTCTTCCAAACAGACGTGCTGCAGGCCACAGGACACCTCCACAGAGGGCTCCAATGCCCAGTGGGTAGAGAGATCTCACCTCAAATAAGATCATCTTTGGGGGGAGCTGTGGAAATGGCCCTGCTGGGCCTGAAGGGCTCAGCCACAGGTGAGCTCCTGCTCTTCCACATACACTCCCTGGGCTCTGGCAGCTGAGGCACCTACTCCCTGACCAAGTTAAGTGCCTGTGTGGCAGGGGAAGAGGGGCAGGTGCATGCCTGAGAGAAATAAATCCCATTCTTCCCCAAAGAGACCTCCTCTCCACTCTTCAGCATTTGTAGCAGGTAGGAGGGTGCAGCTGACGGCAAGGGGCCAGCTTTATGCTCCTCTTTAACTCTCACTCCCCACCCATTGGCACTTCTGTGCCTGATAACCCAGCAATTCAAAAGAAAAAAGAAAAAGCCCCTTGTTCCTGACTCCAACCATGGGGTCCCAACGCAGGATAATCCTAGTGCCTCCACACACTGAAGCATACAGTTTCAGAAAAGAGGAACCATGCGCTGAATGTTGGAAAAGTATAGTGGAGTCCCGAAGCTGTCCATCATGGGGACAGCCGGAGAGTGTGGGCCTCTGGACCCAGGGCAGGCTGGGGGCTGGACGCCCTACACCAGTCTTCCCCACTGCTCAGCCCTCGACCCCTCCCCCTGAAAGGTCAGCCAACGCAGGGAGCAGGTATCATCGTGGAGCACAGATGCTCAGAAAACGCATCATCAGGGAGGTTACCCTGAGGCAGGGGACCCAGCCAGGGACGCTTCCGAGTATCAAAGAAAAACGCAGTTAGCTTCTAGTGGTGAGTCTCGTCCACACCTTGGAGGCTGCAAAGCTTTACTCCTGGTGATTATCTGGACGAAATACGTACGTTTCTCCTTTGACTCTGCCTTGGTTCAAGTTCACCAAGAGACTGGAGAAAACCCTCCGCTGACCGGAAGCCTGGCTTGGTAGCGGAACGAGAGGGAGCTGCTTCTGGGTAAACGTCTCCGCCTAGGAAGGAGGTAACGCGCACCCCGATCCTGCCCTCGCCCCCTCCCCGAGCCCCGAACGCGGCTCCCTCCGGGGAAACCGGCGGATGGTCTCTCAGGACTCCCGGAGGGGGACACGGCTTCTGCAACTGCCTTGCGCACCCCCGCCCGCCCCATCCCCCTTCCCCAGTGAAGCAGCCCAATCCCCCGGGAAGACGTACCCCGCAAGCTAGCCCTAAGCCAGAGCAGGTGCAGCCCAGCCGCGCTCCCAACCGCGTCTACACAAACTTGTTCGCCCGCGGCGGGAGAAAACCCTGCTCACAGCCTGCGCTGGGGTCCCGGCTGGGGCACCCAGAAAACAGGACTCACCCGATAATTGCG